TTTTTTTAAATGGAAATGTTAATGAACTATCAAAATTTTATAACTGATATCTGTCGTGAGTCGTGGTTTAGCAAAAATAATTTTATTCTTCATTCTCATTAGTAGTCGAACTAATACATACCGTTTCAAGTGCATTAGACAGCATCCATAAAATGTCCACGTTGGTTGCATTCCATTTCGCTCAGTTTTTCTTTCGACGATATTTTCAGTTATTTTTGCTTTATAGTTCTGTGAGAGTTGTTCTCGTTTGCATTGTATGGTAACGGTAGACTGCAAATAAAGTATGCCTGCAATGGATACTTGAAGAATTATTTTATGAAACTGTCTTCGCTTACTGTTAGAGGTTCCATTCGAGGTTTTCAGCAAATATTATTTCAGTAGATAAAAGGAAGTTCACGAAGTGATTCTACATCAGTATATCTATGATGCAAGCATCTAATAAAGAAACCTGCTATGCAGGATAACGGTGTTAATGCATATATTGCGTGTTTTTGTGCTTTTCATCGATAGACATTGAACTGTTTTGTGTGCGTTTCACATTATACTCGTATGGTGACAAGCATTTGGGTGCAATATCGTTCTAAAATTTTATTATAAGACTAATACAAGTAATGATTCAAGTGATACAATTTCATTCAGATCAATAATTCTCATTGCTGATCGCACATGTTAAAAAGTCGTCATAATTGAACGGTATTATATGGTATCTGATCGTCTTATCTCAGCCACATCCACATCCACTTGAAGCATAATATTCGAAATGGGATCACATTCACAGAAAACTATTGTGAAAGTAGCCATAGTTCAAGCCGGAACTGTTTTGTTTGATAATAAGAAAACACTACAAAAATTACGTGATTATGCGAGGCAGGCTGCAGAAAGTGGCGCTGATTTGGTTCTCTTTCCAGGTTAAGCGATTGATATGTTCGTAGAATTTTTTTGAACATGTTATTATTCTTGATTCGTTTTACCGAATATTCAACACTTCTTCACCGCATGCTTGTTGGTCGAATTGAATGGAATCTCTTCCCTATAATCCTCACGGACAGCCGCATGCAGCACATGATACTCGCTGAGATTACTTGATCATCAGANTTGATCATCAGAGTCATATCCTGTCCACTTTTCGTTATAGTGGTCAGCCTTAGAGGAGTTTCTATGATTAGGTAGTGAGGATCTCATACCAAGCGATTTTTTCAAACTGATGCTTATTTTCGTTGAAACTATCATCCAAATTTTGAAGTTTATTCAGTTAATCTATGACACTTAAATATATTTCGTTCTATTAAAATAACGCTAATAGATGCCAATTCAAATATTCAGAAGCATTCATCGGTGGTTACCTAAAGGGACTAACATTTGGTGTGCGAATGGGTACACGTTCAGAGGAAGGCAGAGATGAGTTTAGACGATATTGGGAGTGCGCGATTCAAGAGGACGGACCTGAGTCTAAGCAGTTGGCAGCGATAGCCGATGAATTTAACATATATCTGGTGACGGGCGTTATTGAAAGAATTGGTTCAACATTGTATTGCTCGGTAAAAACACTTTCATTCAAATTTTCCCAGTTTTCAATGAATTCAGATTCGCGTGAATACATTCGGTCGCCAAACATCGCCCAAGCTTCATTGAATGCCCACACAAGTTCATTAGCAAGATTTATCGAATGAAAAACGAATTCAAGTATGGGATCTTCGCGTGTGTTTTGCTATATGATCCTTTATCATCTTCATTTCAA